AGTCAACAGTGGCCTAAAACAAGAGTGCCTCATGGGGGGCAGGGAGGTGATAATTAGATTCCTGTTGTCATTTCTCTTTTAGGAGGAACCTGGTGCAGAAGTCTTCCATAATCAGTCCATAATCTGCACAAGGACATGCATAAGATTTAAGTGAGGACAAGGGACTGTTAACTGAGGCTGGGTTTCAGCTCTTGGGGAAACCACTGCAGGGAGACATCTAGCCATGCCCCCCACCCTGGTGTGACTCCCACCTGGAGGACTGACATCTAGCCTGGCAACCAAAGAGGATGGTCTCAAGATCCTAGCCACACTAGGGAGGCCAGATGGACTCTAGACATCAGAATTCTTTGTGTTAACCCAACATAGAGTGGAGATGGGACAGTGTGACTCAGGAGTGTTGTCCAACAGTGTGGGGGACTCCAGGTATTTCCCACTCGTCAGGTGCCTTTCCAGTGTCTCCTCAGATAAGCCAAGCAAGAGGTCTGTTAGTAAAACATGGACCAGTGACAGGGAGATAACTCAGAACTCCTGAGTTAGAAGGGAGTTCTGCTGTTGAAGCCTACAGTGAGTTGTGCTGCTAATCCAAAGGCATGTATCCCTGGGAGGTATCTACTGGCTGCTCTGAAGGAGAAACATGAGTAGTGCTTCAATTTTCCTGTAACCAATGGGGAATCACTTGGTGGCAGTGAGTGGATGACAGAGGCCAAATTAGAAAAAAATCCTCTGATCTTACCAGAAGGGAGGTTTAAACCAGTCATGCCAGCCCCTTCTGAAGACAGATGGGTCTTTAGGGTTCCCAGGGGGCAGTTACAGGACAAGAAACATGACACAACTGGGAGGCTGCAGTTGGGGCAGAGCTGACAGGACAGTGAAGGCACCCATTTTAGAGAGGCACTGAGAATATCCTGGGGGTGCTCTTGTATCTCCCTCCCCTACACCCCTGCTGATGACCTCTACACTGCTGCAGTTACTACCACCATGACCAATAAGGACAGGTCAGTTCCTTTTTCTTCAAAGCACAGTGCCACAGGACATTGCTGGAACCACAAACATCTGACATAGGGCGCTAGAACACACAAGAAGGATCTTTTGTCTTTTTATTCTTTTTTTTTTACTGGTTCTACCAATGTGACTCTTCACACAGGTCACTGTCCCTGCGCACACTGGCTTTGGACATGGGCAAACCAAGTATGTGCCCCAAGAATCCCAATTTATTTCTCTTTCCTATTCCTTTTCCATGTGCTGCCTCATTTTCTCTAAAATGAAAGGCATTGGCAATTTTGTTTGTCTAGATCTGTGTAAAGGTCCCTTGGCAGGAGAACATGCAATGCATATGACTTTAAAATAAAGACAACATTCTGACACTAGGGTAATGCACAGAGAAATACAGTACTCAGACAGCACTGCAAATAAATACCCCAGACAGCTGAAGTTCCCTCAAATATAACAATATTCTTATAAATGAAAATTGTTAACAGAAGGACAGAAGGTAAAAACAAGAGGCGGTGGCGCTACAATTAGGATTAAAATATGCTTATTCCAGGAAACAGAATTCTTTTATTCTTGTCATTTATTTGCTACAATTTGTATTCTTATTTTCTTTTTAGAATATGGAAGACACTTTCTCCTTCTTCTACAAGTACTAATGGCATCTTTGACAGGATCCTTAGCACACAGGGTAGGGATTATGACCAATGACAAGGCCTGCTAAGGAATGCTAATGACTTCTGTTTCCTGAAATTAGCAGTGATTAGTCACACCAAGCAAGAGAAAAATGTTTCATTTTCACATTTGCAAAGAATACTAAGGTTAACCCTTGCCCACTGCTGTGAGAAGCAAAAAAAGAACACTGATGCCTGACACATTCTAGCTCCTCACAAACGTGTTATTAATACAACTTGCTTAGTTTGTTCCAGAGAAGTTCACTTGGTTCCCAAGTACACTCAGTGCTTTGTGTCTGCTTTCATTTTCTAAGGTCCTGAATTTAAAAAGACCTAAGAGTAAAGAATCACTGACTAACAGAATTTTGTACAATTGTTCTTCTCCTTTTCTCAATAGAGATGCCCGAGTAGACGTGTGAAAGGGACATGCTCATTTCACACTTATTGCTTCACAATGACCGTGGAAATTATCAACTAGCTCCTCACTGTCCATTTTAGAGAAAAAAAAAAACCACTCTGGGACACTTCCTTAAATGATGAAGGCACTACTGGCAGTGATTACTAACAAAGAGGTGTTGAAATAAAACACCCTGAAAATTGACAAGTGTAGAATTTTCTAAGTGTACCACAATTTGGCACAACAACCAGAGTAACAAAACAATTCCAATTTGGAATTTAACTGGTACAATTGAACAAAACTCTGTTAGTCAGCCATGCTTCTCAATGTCCTAAAACCCAGAAAATTCTGGACTTTGCAGATAATACTCTTATTCAATAATTTATTATTTTTCAAGTGCCTATTACTATTTTAACCAGAGCAAAGGTCAAGTTTTCGTCTTGTTACATTGAACTATTCCTAAGAATAATAATACAATATGAAAAACCCCAGAATCTGAATACCCTGGATTTCTTAATGAATATGGCATTTAAAATTCTTAATTTCAAACATGAATTGTAACAGAATAATCTAAACAGCTGCTGACCCACAGGGTGAATCTATTAGCTGAGCTCTTTGCTGGGTCTAAAACCTCATGTAACAGCCTCGACCTACAAACCAGAAAGGGTCCGCACGCTTTGCAAGGTGCTAACATCCAGTGACAGGCTGGGCACAAAGATGGAGAGCCACATGCCCATGAGCAGCACGTACAGCGTCTGAGAACCATCTGTATATGGGGAGTGAGGAAGCAAATATTAAAGTATCAAAAGTGCACAAATTTATCTGATAAAAAGGGGTGTTTGTAACAAAAGGGTGTTTCTAGTGGGTTCACACAAACATGACATGAAGGTCACAGTCCACAACAGATTCCTCAGCACTTTTCAAATGGTCTTTCAAGCAGCAACTCAAAGCATTTTCAACATTAAAGCTCTCATTCTTCCCAACATAAACCCAGGGAATGCAGTTTGGAGGGAAAAAAATTGCAGTGGCATATCCAAAGACATTTCTAAGAGGGATTTGCGTGGCCTCTCCTTGCTCCATGTGGGCGGTCCACAATCCTCCAACCGCGACCACGGGGAGCAGCAAGGAGCTGCAAGGCCAGGTGGCCGAGTCCTCTCGGCAACTATGCTACAGCTGCAATGGGAGAGAACAGAACATGGTTACTGGTTGTGTGGGCCCTGCCCCTCAGTCCTGGGGGACTTCTGGGGGCACTGCAGCATGCAGGAGTTAGTTGGCAGAAAAGACCCAAGTGTCACAGCTGTACTCATGCTCCGTGCTGGGGTTGGCTCCGAGGGCCATACACCCCTCAAAAAGACCCAGAGCAGCTCCCACAGCAGCGGGCACAACAGAGGGTGCAAGTGACACATGCAGGGCTGGCAAGAAATAAGTCACCCCCAGCTAAGCCCTGCTCCCCGGAGCAGGGTTAGTACAATCCTCTTCAGAGCTGGGCACCCCAAGGCCAATGGTGAGCCTAGGACTGGTGCTGAAGATGCCTGCAGAGCACACCCTGTCATTCCAGGCCACAGTGGGTCAAGCCCAAGGCGCAACAAACTGTCCACAGCATTTGGAGTTGATGGGAGGGAGGGTCAAGACATACTCAAGAACCACATAAAAGAGTAAAGTAAGGGCAAACACCTTTTTGAGAGAAGTCAAAGCAGTCTCTCATTAGATAATGTGAATTTCCCTTCTGAAGAAAGACACTCTCTGACTTCCAAGAGGTGAAGAAGCCTTAGGTGAAGACGATGCAGCCTTGTCCGGCGGACGTTACATGGTGCCCAGGAAAAGAAATACTGAGGAGCTCTGTGCCGGAAGTATAAACTCTTAGGCAGGGCAGACCGTACCTCTGCTAAGAATGGCAGAGCTGCAAAGGCCTGGTGCTGCCTCGCTTCACAGCCTGCCTTCTGTCCACAGCCCACAGTGCACCAAGTGAGGAAGCTACACACTTATCCATGTATCCTGGGACTTGGTCCTATTCAAAAGCCTTTCAAGAGAAGACCCAGCTGGGCTCCAACTAGGGACCAAGAGGCACTTTCACCTCTGCTAACTTCAAGAGTTCAATGTTCCACCTCAAGGTACAAAGTCACCTGGAAGAGACATGTTGTGAACAAGTGGCAGGCATGGGCTGCTTGTAGGTCTGGATATAGCCTAGGGGAAGGGCAGACAACTTGGAAGACTGCTGTCATTCAAAGGGCTGGGACTCCAAGCTGCATACAGAGGCTGTGGCAAGGCACTTGGAAAGCTGCTGTCACTGGGACTGAGGTCCTGGCTGGCTACCTTCCTGTCACCCTGTAGGCCCATGCAAGTACAGGCCTCCAAATGTGCTAGATAGCCTAGCTAGGATGGATTACATTAGCTGTTCCCAGTGAAAAGTTTGTGTCCGGGCCACAGGTATGTGGGAGCTCAGGACACGTTTGGACCAGAATTTGGGATGTAATTCTCTATCTCTGTTTCTGGTGTAATGTGCAGGGAGATGTGCCACATCTCCCTGTTTCTGTAAGAAACTCCATGAACCAAGCCACATGCAGCATTTGCAACAGGTATCCTACCTGCGGTGGGGTGGGTGTGGGGGGTTTGAGCCAGAACTGAGGGTCAGGAAAGGCGCAGGACACTGCCAGGGCAGAAGCTTAGGCCTGACCAGGACTTCCTCTATGGGAATCTTTCCATGGGGATCATGCCTTCATGAACCCCCCTCACATGTGTCCCTTACTCTGACACCTACTGACAAAGGCAAATGTTAATAAGGGGAGGAAGAAGGAGGCAAAAACAGACAGAAGGGGCCCAGGAGTCCAGCAGGCCTCTTTGCTACACCAGTTCAGACATGATCAGAAGCCTCCCAAGAGTGTGTTAGTGGGGGATAAAGCGGACAGGTAATGCATTAGGTTCAGGTTGTGATGCCTGCAGCCCTAGTCACAGTAAATATTGTACTTTTCACTGCAGAACACCTGAGTGGAGAGCCCAGAGCCTTCGGCTTTTTCGCTGGTGCAGGCACACGTGTGACTTACGCTTGGGGTGCTGGGCTTGGCCCTGGAGGTGGCCTTGGTGCGGCCACGCCGGGCCTGCTCATGGTCTAGCTCAAGTAGCTCCAGCCGCTGAGTCAAGGCCAGCTTCTGCTGGATGGCCATGCGCAGAAGCGAGTTGAGTGTTTTCTTCTCGTCCTCAGCAGCTGCCAGCTGTCGCTGCATCTCATCCAACTGCGTGATATACTCATCACACCTGTAGGGCAACATTGAGAGTATGTGAAGGGACACAAGCATGCTGTCAAGTCAGGCCTCTGGGCCTATGGGAGTGGCACTGCAAGGGTGCGTCTGTGTGAGCCACAGAGGAGCAGCAGCAAAGTTATCTCCTGTATGAAAGACAGGCCTGGGGGTGGAAGGGATAGGAACAGAGTTGGGAGGAGTTGCAGCTTCTTTTGCAAAGGCTTCAGAAGCCTGACTTGGTTGGCCCAAATGTCCCACCACCTACAATGGACCTGGTCACTAAGCCTTCTCTCACAGGCTTAGGTCCCTCCCTTGGCCCTGAGGACCTGCACAAAGCCCCCTCCCCTGGCCCACAAAGAGTCTTATATGAAGTCCCAGCTGCAGCTGCTCAGAGGGTGCCTGGGGCTCGACACTGCAGCTGTAACAGAGGCCTGCATATAAGCTTTGTTTATTCAGCAGTTTCAGTGAAGCATTTCGTAGTTAGGGCCCTCTAAGGGAATCAGAGGTGCCCCTTCAGACTTTGGTGGTCCATGCAACACTGGTGTTAACAGTGTGAGAAGGGTGTCGCTTGGCTTCCAGGGTGTGGGTGCAGACACCAGAGGCAGGGATGGGCTCTGATGCCAACTGCACAGGTACCTGGCATGGTATGTGCATGCACTAGGTGCTCAGTGGACCTATCCTGAGCTCCCACTTGAGCCAAGCAAGATGACATCTGTCTCTTCACTTTCATATGACCTCAAATGGTCTCTCATGTATTTTGTTCCATGTCATCTAGCTGTACCCTAGACCAGTGATCCCACTTGGGGAGGGGCAGAGGCAGGCAGAGTCTCCAGGTGCCACAACCAAGAGGTCTGCAAAATGCTCCAAGCCTCCCCATGCCACACTGTAGCCAGAGTTGAGCTGCAGGTCAACCTCTGAGCACCTTCTTGCCACTTCCCCACATACTTCTCCAAGAATGGCCATCTCCCTGAAGGTTTAGAAGGCCACAGAAAGCCCCCGACAAGGGCTGATCTTAGTCTTCCAGGTAAAGCAAACAAGCTCAGGATCCTTACGCTTTTGAAAAGACAGGGCTATATGGCCTCAATGAAGTAAATGAAAGAAAGGTGAGGTTTAGGTGTTGATGAGGAATGGTGAACTCTTCCAGGAGCTTGGCAAGCCCCAGGGAGAGGAGGGAGCTCTGCAGAAAGCCTCAAACTGTCTTGACTTGTCTTTGCCCTTCACTATGACACACAGAATAGGGTAATATTAGCGCCATCTTCATTGGTTCTGGCACAGACCCTGTGGCAGGACATTGAAAACCAGGGATGCCCAGCCCAGGGGATGGGGAGAAGGACCTCAGGGCTTCACTTCCTCTTGAGCTCAGTTTCTAGACTATGGTGGATGGTCACTATTGATCAGCAAGGGGAGCCCTTGCTCCCTCCCAGCAAGGAGGCTCCTAGTCAGAAATAAAGGGTCTCCAAAACAACCTGAGTTCCTAGTCTCACTGTGTTCAGTCTGCTGGTCCACTTTCTTTTAGGAAGGTCACAGTGAAACTTCTGTCCTAGCTATGTGCTAGACCTGGCATGCCCATGCCCACCTCCTCGCATGATGTAGGGATTGGCCTGCTGAACACTGGCCTTGTCACTAAGAGTCCCTCACTCTTGTGGGGACCCTCATTCAGCCAGCCCTTGGGCTTGTACCTGCTCATAGTCCATCCTGGACCCTAGAAATAAGAGCCTCCATGTGGGAAAACAAGCCTTCTTTCCTCAGGGATGTCAAGAACCAGCAGACTGCATGCACTAGAAGTAAAAACCTTGTCCCCTCCACACTGGCTACTGCCCGTTCCTCTTCACCTTGCCAGTCACAACCAGTGTACAGCAGCCCAAGAACTCTTAGGGGTCCTGGGGAGGCAGCACCCAGGATGCAACCAGCCACAGCACTACCACATAGCAAGATAGGTAGATGCAGCACCTCCACTAGGCCCTGAGTGGACAGCTGCCATGATGCCATGACCTGGCACAGCCCTGCTAGCTCACCTGGTGGCAAACATGGCTCGCAGAGAGGAGAACGTTGCAGCATCTTCCTTGAGTGCCTTGAGTTCATTCCGAAGTTTCATCATGGTCTCAGTCACCATCGCCTTCTCATTCTCATACTTGCTCTTCAGGTTGGCCAGCGCCACTTCAGCTGTCTGCAAGGACAGAGAAAAGTAGCTCCACATGCCACCTCACCTGGGCAGGTGGCTGAGGAGCCAAGCCAAACCCTTGTCCTGTGACACAGCAACCAGGAGGGACTCCTTGGGTGGGCATGGAGGGAGAATGCATGGTGGCCGAATGCCCTGAAAGACTATTCCTTCTCTGGAGTCTCCTGACCAGGCCTCTGGTGACACTGCAGGTTAATGATAACCCTGAATGGCTGTAGAACCTCTCATGCTCCCCACAGTATGCAAAAGGAATAATAAGCATGTTTTCCCCAGAGTGCCTGTATGCGGCTTTGGATCTGAGAGGGCCCACCTTCAAGATTCCTATGGTCAGTTCAGAAGCCACTGTGGGTCATCCCAGTGTGGAGTGGTAAAGGTTTAGGCTTTGGGGAAGGTGTGGGATGAAGAAGAGCTGTCCAGGCAGGGAAGATGCAGGGTCATGGCAAGCCAGCCCTAAGGTATGGAGGACAGAAGCAAAGGAGAAATGCCCCTCAGGCCAGCAGCTTTTTAGGATCTAGCCCAGCATCCCCAGAGACTGGAACCCAACCCTAGAAGTCCCAGAGTCCTGCGCTTTAAGAGCTCTGAAGTTTTCAGTCTCGTTGGATGCTTGCAGCTCTAGGCCTAAGGGCACCAGAGCATCCCACCGTCAGGCCTGCTCCCCAAGGCTCCCACTCTCACAACCTTCACCTGTTTGTTGGCCTTGAGCACAGTCCTCAGAGTGGTGATCTGCTCACGCTTGGTGCTCAGCAGTGATTTTAGCTTCAGGATCTCCTCCATCAGTGCCTCCTTATCCTTGTCCACAGCAGGGCCCAGCTCCTGTGAGGCAAGGCGCTGCCGTGACAGCTCGGTGGTGCGGTCCACGGCTGCCTGCAGGTGCTTGATCTGGTCACGAATGATGGCAATCAAGTTGTAGATATTCATGGGCTCACGGTGTGGGTCACTCAAAGGTGATGGCAACGAGGTGCTGGGGGAGGGAGTGCCTTCCCCATTTCCACCCTCTGCTCTACCCAGCTCTGGGGTGAGCAGGCCCTTGGGCAGGAGGACTGGAGAGCGCTGCCCTCGGCCTTCAGGGCTGCTGTGGCCAGCCCCACCTTGGCCTTCACGGTAGTAGTCCAGCATAACACGGTTGGGTGTCTCATTGTTGCACATGCACACGTGATGGTAGAGGTTGGCTAGTTCCTCACTGAAGGTCACCAGCTCATCCTGTGCTGCACTCAGGCTGCCCTGTGTCTCCCCAGCCACATCACTCACGCTCTTGAGCTCCTTCTCCAGCCGAGCCAGCAGGTCACGGTCCTGGCGGCTGGCCTTCTCCATCAGGGCTAGCTTCTCAGCGAGCACCTGGCCCTCAGCCTCGTGGCGGCCCTTCTCCTGGGCATGGTGGGCTTCCGAGGCCTCATGCACGCTCTGCAGTGCCTTCAGCTGCTCCCGGAGTTCACCTGCCTCAGCCACAGCCACATGGTACTTGCAGGCCAGGATCTCAGGCCCGTTGATGTCCACCTCGTAGTAGTCGCCATCCTCATGGCTGTCGTGGTCCTTCTCACTATCCAGGGCTGTCTGCCGTTCCTTGCTAGCCTGCAAGCGCCGCAGGGCACTTAGGTTCTCTGTGAGCCGGCCCACCTTTTCATGCTGCTCGGATAGAGCCCCTCGGGCCTGCTCCAGCTGCTTCTGTGTGTCCTGCAGTGCGGCCAGCATGTTCGTTTTCTCCCGTTCCATCTACAGAAGCACAAGCACAGGGGCATCAGTGGCCTGCAGAGGACCCACCTGAGGCAGTTTGTCACTGTCCTGCCTGGCATCACCTGTTGCCTCACAGGTTCCTTAATCAACTGAGACTGCTGGCTGCCAGTGCAAAAGTAGATATGGCTATTCTGTGCCAGCACAAACTTTTACAACCATGCACAGGGAAGTGCTGGGTGCTCTGCCCAATGCCCTATGGGCAGAGGGTGGAGGGTTGGGACTCAAGAGTCTAGCTGTGTGGCTGCTCAATGCCCACATAAGGCAAGCACCTGAGCTACTATGCCTTCATCTCACACTAGACCACATTCCAGGGCCCTGGGGTGTTGGGTGACTCAGCATCCCTTGACCTGCTCCCTGGCAGCCTGGGGACATTTGTGAAGTTAACACAAAAGGAAAGCCCTGCTATCTTCTAGGAACCCTGGATGGATCACTGCCTCTGGCCCACCCATTCCCTTGTCCGTAAAGGATCTACGGGAGGGTGTTGCACAACCAACTAGCTTTTCACTATTTCAAAGGTGAGCTTTCCCTCATCTTGAGTCTCCTTGCTCTACAAGATGAGGAGGTGTCAGCCCCTTGGAAACTGCCACGTGGGCAGCTCCGAGAAATCAAGCTCCATGTCTCCAGTGAGACACCAGAGGGGCTTTACTGGAGTATAAAGTCCCGACACACCCCTGACATCCATGGACATGATGCAGGCACCACAACAGCACACAAAAAAGCCTGCCATCTCTCCTATCTTCTATCTGCAATATGGGGTGTTGCACTCACGGGAACAATGTGGAATTTAAAATGAATTAAAGGAGAAGGCAAATCACCCTCAAGTGTTGGGTGCAGAGCACTGAAGGTTATGCAGCCACAGAGCAGGGTTGGACATGAGGAAACTTCAGTCACACTCTCAATTTCCATAACTTTGTGGGGTAGGGACATGGCCAGGGGCCCCCACACTGCTAACCTCACCTGCATCACCTGCTGCTTGAGCTTCTGGATCTCAGATATGTTGAGCTCACTGAGGAGGTCTGAGACCAGGCTGGGAGAGGGTGGCGGAAGCCCATCCTTGAGGGGCACTGAGCTCCTGATGTCGAGAGGCAGCTTGGCGAGGCTGTGCTCCAGGCCGTTGACGAGGGCTTCAGCATCATTGTTGGGCTCAGTCGTAGTGGTGGCAGTGGCATCATCACTGAACTTGAGGCCATCGAGGGAGACATGCAAATGGCTGGTATAGAGTGAATCGTTGATGCTCATGTAGTGAGACAGCTCCTTGCGCAGGCTATTCTTCTGCTCCCGCTCGGTCTTCAGGGTCTCTAGTGCTTCCTCCAGCTGCCTCTCAGAGATCTCCTTAAGTCGAATGGCATCTTCCAGTTGACTGTTCAGATACTCGGTCTCTTCCTCCAGGCGTTTAATCTCATGCTTGAGGCCCTCAAATTCAACCTGAGGAAGGGAATTCAAAGAACTCACAAGCCAGGCAACCAGTGAATAAATGGAATCAATTCACAAAGTTTCAAAGTGCTTATTCTTTTTTTTTTTTATTGTATTATTTTTACATGTACCGTCAAATTAGATCTGACAGGTACAGGAGGAGATTGCCCCCTCCTTCTCCAGCAGAGCATCTGGTGGATTTGAACCGTGTACCTCTGGGATTGCAGTGCAGCATCTTCCCACTAGGCCACCAGAGCTCCCCGAAGTGCTTATTCCAACGGCTAGACAGCAGAAGGGTAAACTGAGCTCTGAAGAGGGCTGTGAGGGAGAGTGCTCTCCCATTATGGCGGCTGCGTAGAGATAGGGGGTGTGTTTGTAAGGTATAAGAGCAATACAAACACCAGACCCCTGCCTAGAACCTGTGCAGGTGCAGGATAAGGAAGGACCTTGTACAGAGGACATGGATAGCTACCCCTCCACTTTAAAATATTAACAAGCATATAATTATTTTGTCCTGGAAAGGGTTAAACTGGGTGGCTCCTTGGAAGCAAGGATTCTGAGGCTCCGTCTAACATACTTTGGACATGTTGTGATGAGAGACCGGTCCTTGGAGAAGGACATCATGCTTGGGAGGGTGGAGGGACGGTGCAGGAGGGGAAGGCCCTCTATGAGGTGGATTGATTCAGTGACTGGGATAATTGGGATGGGAGTGTCGGAGACAGTGCGACTGGCACAGGACAGAGCAGAGTTTAGGCCTGTTGTACATAGGGTTGCTATGAGTCACAGGCTACTCGACGGCACATAACAACAACAACAACATAATTATTTTAATGATAGAAGAAAGCTTTGTAGTTAATAGTAAACTACTTAAACATTTTAAACACATACTGAAATGCTCACTATGACCATTCTAAGGATGCTTCAAATTGGATGGAACCAACCAAGGCTTTCAGAGCGACCATGGTACAAAAATCACTTAGCTCTACTTACAATCAGTACACACACAATAGTTAGATCCCTGAAGCACTAGAATAAAAGCAACAGTAGCAGAACCCAGAATTCTATCTATGTGAAACTGTATTTCTAGGTAGGCAGACAGCAAAGAAAGAACAGTATAAAGACTGATGCTTAAGTAGGGGAGGGGGGCAATCAGAGTTTGGTATCAATTATAAAAACATTTGCTATTATTCTGTAACATTTACATAAGAAATACTCATAAAAAATTAGGAAACACACCAGTACAAAGAAGTAGTGAGGGGATCTCTACAGATGTGTGTATGCACCTGAGGATAGGTGCAGGTACAAGGAGGTACCAGAGTAGGAAGAAAGACTTGGAGAACTACCTCAGAAAACCAGCCAGTGCAAATCCTGGGAATTACATTGGCCCAATCCGCAGCCAGTCATGGGTGGCACAGGGCTGCTTACTTCCATCATGCATGTGTGACCACTGCTTTAGATAGGCTGGAGCCTTGTGGCCACAGTCAAAGATAGCCCTGTCTCTGGCAAGTCCCTGAGATTTGGCCAGCTACTGCTTCCACAGAAAGGATAGAGGGGTCCACCTTGTTCCTCAAGGCCCCTCAGTGCCTCTACCAACTTCCCTCCTTTGGTTCTTTCAGAGGGTCCTAATGTTTCCCTGTGCATAGAGGCTACACCAGGCTCACAGAAGAGAAATGGCATATGAAATCCTAGGTGGAAAAATGACAGAACTTTGCAGAGGGCACATTTCAAGAATCAAAGTAAGGCAAAGAAAGGCAGGAGAGATAACCATACAGCTCAAAGGTCCGAGTTCCAGAGTAGACTAGATATGCTTCAATGAAGGCCCAGGTTCGCACTGGAGATGGTGACACAGCCTGAGGGGTCTACTGTAATTTCCTGTGATTTACCAGGACCACAGACTCTAGTTGGCCATTGGTCAGCTACACAAAGCCAGAAGTCTTAACCCTGACCACTGGGATGGCCTGTTTGTATGATGGTCCTGGCAGTATGTGGAGTGAGACAGGGAATGCTTCATCCTAACATGGGAAGGTATAAAGAGGTGAGGGGTGAGCTTCTCCACCCACCCTCCATCCCTGGGAACAGACTTGCCTGGTTCTGCCGGAGCACAGACACCTGCTTCTGAAGGCAAATGTTCTCCTCCTCCAGCTCTGAGTAGTCCTGCAGCAGACGAGCCTCCCGGAACTTATACTCCTTGATGTCATCCCGCAGGCGGCCTCGCTGGATCTCCACATTTTGGTTGATCTACAGGGCAGAAAGAAAAGCAAGAATGAGCACCTGTTTACGCGACGCACCAAGGAGCCAAGCACACCAAGCACAGCAGGCCACACAGCCTGGTTCCAGGAGTTGAATGAGACCAACAGTGAACAGGATGTCCACCCTGTGGGGGTAGGTAGAGCCCAGAGGCAGTGCAGTGGGGAGCAGGCAACACAAGGTATGGAACCAGATGGATCTCAGATGGACCAACTGAACTCTCAACTCAGTCACTTGCAGCTTAGAACCTCTATCAGGTGACTCAAATCTGCTCTCACCTTTAGTTGCTTCCCCTGTAAAATGGGATTTAAAATAGTACCTTCTTCATACTCCATAGATGGAATATAAAATAGTTCAGCTGCTATGAAAATCTGTTTCAAGTTGCTACTAGGTGCCATCAAGTCAACTTAGACTCACTGGAACCCTGACATATTCTGTGCCATCCGCATAATCTCTAATATACTTGAGTCCATTGTTAATGTTACTATGTCAAGGAAGAGGAGGGGAAGGAGGAAGAGGAGGAGGGAAAGTGGAGGGGGAAGGGAGTAAGTGGAGGAGGATGATGATGAGGAGGAAATAGTTATTCTCCTCCTCCTCCAATTGGTTTGCATATAATCATTAATATGTATAATGTTTTGTACATGTAAAGTACAAAGGTGTATTATACAATCTTTGGTACACAATATGTTGTTGTTATTGTTATGTGGCATTGAGTCACTTGTGACTCATAGCGACCCTATGTACAACAGCCCTCAACTCTGCTCTGTCCTGTGCCAATCTCACTGTCTCCGAGACACCCATCCCGATTACCCCAGTCACTCAATCAATCTATGTCCTAGGGGGCCTTCCCCTCCTGTGCCTGCCCTCCACCCTTGCAAGCATGATGTCCTTCTCCAAGGACCGGTCTCTCCTTACAACATGACCAAAGTACGTCAGATGAACCCTCAGAATCCTTGCCTCCAAGGAGCAGCCCAGTTTAACCGGTACACAATATAGTTTATATAATTACCATTGCTCTATGCCCTGTCTTTGCAAAGCCCCATTAAACCTTTTCCATTACTTCACTTCCCCTTACCCACGAACCTCTGCTATCCCAGTGGCTTTTCACTCTTCCCCTGTAGCTGCCCCCTTCTCTCCTTTCCCTTGTGAACATTTATACACATCTTACTCAGTTATCCTCCTATTGTCACAACAGTGGTCTCATGCAGTATTTGTCCTTAAGTGACTAAGATAATTCACTTATCAAAATGCTCTCTTGCCTTCTCAAATTATATAGAGTATTTTGCAAAATCACTGTTCCTCAGTGTTACATAGTATTCCATTGGGTGAATGTACTGCAAGTTCTCAAGCCATTCATTTGAAGATGGGCATTCGGCTGCTTCCAGTTTCTTACTATTCTGAATACCACTGCTATGAACATAGCGAAACAAATGCCCATTCCTGTTTCTGTTCTGATTTGACTGAAGTAAATCCCTAGCAGTAGAATAGCTGGGCCATACGGTATTTTTATGTTCAGCTTTGTTGTTGTTGTTTTGTGCCATCAAGTAGCAGCTCATAGCGACCCTATGTACAAGAGCCTGAAATGCCACTCTATCCTGTGCCAACCTCACCGTCTCTAACACACTCATTCCCACCACCCTAATCACTGAATCTATCCATCGCATCAAGGGTCTTCCTGTCCTGAGCTGTCCCTCCACTCTCCCAAACAAGATATCCCTCTCCAAGGACCAGTCCCTCCTTGCAACATGCCCAAAGTATGTCAGATGAAGCTTCAGAATCCTTGACTCCAAGGAGAATTCCAGCTTCACACTCTCCAGGACAAACCTGTTTGTTCTCCTAGCAGTCCATGGTATATTCAACACTCTTCTCCAGCACCAGAGCTCAAAGGCATCAATTCTATCATTCCTAGTCACTGTCCAACTCTCTGATGTATAGCATGTAATTGTGAAGACGATAGCCTGGTACACTTTCGTCTCCAGCCTGAAGTCATTGCTCTTCAGTACTCCTCAGAGGTCCCTCACAGCTGACTTTCCCAGTGCAATTCATCTCTTTATTTCCTCGCTGCTGGTACCAAGAGTGTTGACTGTGGAGCCAAGTAAACGAAAACTGTTAACTATCTCAATCTCTTTACCATCCACACTGATGCTGCCAATTGGCCCATTGGTGAGAATCTATGTTTACTTTTTTTTTCCCTTCTTTACTGACTTAGCTCTTCATTAATTTCTTTCAACAATGGTTTTCAGGTTGGCATATGTCTTTTGCCAAATTAATTTGGCCAAATTGTTTTTATTGTTTTTTTCTCTTTTTTTTGTAATTTTTATTTTATTTTAATGAACATTTACAGAGATTTTGGATTTCCATTCTTTCACTGCTGCACTTCTCTCCCCCCCAGCCCTCCCCCACCGCCAGTTTACTCCTCTCTTTGAAAAGTAAAAGAAAAACTCCCTCCCTGGTACACAATCCCCCCCCCGCACCCCTCCCACGGCCCCAAGTACATTCCACTATGCAACCTTAATTGTGGACTCTTGTGATAACCATAAGACCCTATCATACATCGCTTTTAAATTATTCTCTCCCTCATCTGTTTCATGCAGTATACACAATTTATCCAGTTTTTCTCAGTCTTATCCCAACCCTGGTATCAGTCCCATTTTACAGCAGTGGCATCATGCAGTATTTGTCCTTTTGCGACTGAGATATTTCACTCAGCATAATGTCCTCCAGGGTCACCCATGTTGAATAACATTGCATGAGTTCCCTGTTTTTCAATGCAGCATAGTATTCCATTGTGTGAATATACCACAGCTTCTCTATCCATTCGTTTGTTGATGGGCACCCGGGCTGTTTCCAACTCCCCGCTACTGTGAATAAAGCCGCGACAATATGTTTTCTTGATATTAAGCTTCAATCCGTATAGGAGGCAAGCACTTCAGGTCCTCCTCAGTTTCAGCAAGCTGGGTGTGTCATCTGCACAATGCAGGTTGTTGATGACTCGTCCACCAATCCTGATGTCACATTCCTCCTCGGTACAGACCAACGTCTTGGATGATCTGTTCTGCATACAGATTGAAAAGGTATGGAGACAAAATACGTCCGTGATGGACCCCTTCTTGATTTTGAACCATATAGTGTCTCCTTGCTCTGTCCTGATGACTGCCTCGTGGTCCAAGTATAGGTTTCACATAAGCACAATCAAATGTTCTGGGATTCCCATTCTTCTTAGAGTCAGCCATAGCTTGATGTGATGCACACTGTCAAATGCTTTTGCATAGCCAATGAAGCACAGATAAGACATTGTTCTAGTAGTTATTTATTTTTTTTTGGTAGGTACAGACTCTTTTTAAAATTTTTTTGAGATTTTAATGAAAGTTTATAAAGAACGTGGGTTTCCATTCCTTCATTGTTGCACATTTACCTCCCTGTCACCATTTCCCCCAGAGATCACTATTTTCTGAGAAAAAAGTTCTTTCATTGTTATACAGTCCCTTCCCAGCCTGAATCATGTTACTATGCAGCTCTTATTCTGGACTCTTACCATGCCAATAATACCTAATCATTTATTCTTTTATAGAGTTGTCTCCCCTGTCTGTTTCAATGCTGTGTACATTATCCCTTCTTTTCTTAGTTCCCTCCCACTCCCATGTCAGTCCTGTCTTATAACAGTGGCATTATGTCGTATTTGTCTTTTGTGACTAAGAAATTTCACTCAGCATAATGTTCTTTATGGTCACCCATTTTGTATATTTCATGAGTAGTTTTTCAGTGCTGCATAGTATTCAATTGTGTGAATATACCACAGCTTCTCTATCCATTCATTTGTTGATAGGCACTTGGGTTGTTTCCAACTCTTTACTACTGTGAACAAAGCGTGGGTGTGCATGTTTATTGTGCCTATCTGCTTGGGTGGCATTTCTGGTTTCTGTAGGGTATATTCCCAGTAGTGTAATTGCTGGGTCAAATGGTATTTCTATTTGCAACTTTTTGAGAAAGCACCACACTGCATTCCAGAGTGACTGCACCAATTTACACCCCAATAACAATGAATAAGGGTTCCAGTTTCTCCACAATCTTGTCAGCATCTGTTGTTTCCTGCTCTGCTGAATTTTGCTATTCTGACTGGGGTGAGATGTTATCTCATAGTTGTTTTGATCTGCATCTCTCTTAGAGTTAGAGATTTTGAAAATTTCTTCATACGTTTGTTTGCCATCTGAATGTCTTCTTTGGTGGTGTTTGTTCATATCCTGTACCCATTTTTCAATTAGCTTGTTTCCCTTTATCTTGTTGTGGCATTCAAGTATTCTATAAATTCTATATGTAAGTCCCTTATCAGACATGCCATTGCCAAATATTATTTTCCCCACTCTGTGGCTTCCCTTTTAACTCTGCTGGAGACGTTTTTGGATGTGCAAAGGGATTTGATTCTTAGAAGGTCCCAGTGATCTATTTTATCCTCTCCTGGTTCTAGGTTTTTCAGGATACTTAGAAGAATGTTCATGTGGTAGATTAGGCCTTCTAGGGTTCTTCCATGCTTTTCTCTAAATAAAGTTTATAGTCCTAGGTCCTTGATTCACTTTGAGTTGGTTTTTGTGAATGTTGTGAGGTATGGGTCTTGTTTGAGTTTTCTACACGTTTTTCCAATTTTGCCAACACCATTTGTTAAAAAGGCTGCATTCCCCCAATTAACTGATTTCATCTCCTTGTCAAAAATCAGTTGATCATAGGTAGAGGGGCTGATTTCTGGGTTCTCAATTCTTGTCCCTTGTTCAATGTGTCTGTCATTGTACCAGTACTACACTGTCTTGACCATCATGGCAGTGTAAGTAGGATTTGAAATCAAGGAGTGAGATGCCTCCTACCTTGTTTCTCTTTTAAAGGACTGCTTTGCTTATTCGGGGTCTCCTTCCATTCCAAATGAAACTGGAGATTGCCTTTTCCATCTCACTGAAGAATGGAATTGATATTTGTATTGGGATTGCATTGAAAGTGTAAAT